TCCTGGGAAGCAAGGTTTTTTTATTTTCATGCCGGATTTGGTTGCAAAATCTTCGTTTTCCGGTCAAATGTTTGCGGAAGTAACTTATCAATAATCTTGGGGAGCCAATTCAGGATATCAAATGAGGATGTTGAAGGTATCTTTATTTCAGTTAGTCAAACTTAAAAAAAAACAAAACATACCCAATTATGATTATATGAAGAAAATAAACCACCATACATTGCTATCCCTCAAATATCTGTATCCTTAACCGTGAAAGAACATTAAATTTCACATCTTTTTACGCATGCAAAACACTAGAGCAATCGGTGAAGGGAAAACGTTGAAAGTAAATCCAAAAATCCGTGTACTTGTGCACGTTGATTGCTTGGTCCGTGATGGAAAACCTTCCCATCCTGCCATCTCGAATATTCTTAAATCCCTTTGCCTGCTTTATCGATCAATCGACTTGCATTTACAATTCCTTTCGATTTTCCTACATCCACTTTATCAATTTGGCCAATGAAATTCAACAGTTCTGCTTTTAGTTTTTACTCTTTCTTGTTTTGGTTTGACGTCGATAAAGAAAAAGGAAAAAATTTATATAAAGCAAGAAAAACTGCATCATTCATCACCGAGTAGCTGTGCGAACTGGACCACTTTGGTGGCTTTCTATTGTTTGATTCAAGTACCTGGCTATCTGGCATCCAATTGTGTTTAGATCAAAAGTAAATTAAATGAATTGATTGGTTTGTGAATGCGGCAATTATTGTAATCACTCGAAATCTCTTTCATTTTTATCATAGCTTCTGCAATTTATGTTGTTTTGCTGTAAAGTTGTCGAAAGTTTTGCTTGACTGGGCAGCTGCTAAGTGTAAACATCTTTCTAACACGTAGTAACTGTCAAATGAGCTTGTCCGTTGAACAAAAAAATGTTTTCCCATTCTATTCATCGTTGCCAATCAACAAACAACAGGTGTGTGTAATTATTTTTCCTCTTTAAAAACGTTTTTATACCTTTTTAGGGCTTTTGACAGACCATTCCATTCGATTCTGAGAGCAATTTAATGTGGATTTTTAATAGCTATTGAAGTTTCTTCAGTTAAGAATGACTAAATAAATTTGGTGTTTATTTTAAACATGGATCAATGTTGCGAAGTTATTTGTATCAATACTGTTGTCGCCTGTCCAATAAGGCCCACCTAGCAACAGTTGATGCTAAGTCAATTACCCAGTGATATTCAATGACTCAGGGCCGTAGGCAAAGTCCATTGATGAGGAGGCACCTGCCTGTCACGGCACTTGTTCAATCTCTGCCGAGTCCTCGGACGCTCTAACGAGTTCTAAAACATTTCGCCCAGCTAAACGAAGTTCATCGCACTGAATAACAAGTAGTTTTTCCAAGCTCGCACAATTTTCCTATTTTCCGTGTGTCTCCATTTTTTTGTTGTTGTGGCTGACGTTGCGGAAGACTGAAGGAAAAGCTGACTTGAGGCGACTCCAGGCAGTGGGACTCAAACTGAATCCTAATGAGGTGCAGATTCTGTTGGTCATATGCGGCGTGTACTTAATGCAGGTCGGGCTGACATCGAGCTTTGGTTTGTGGGGCGAACTAATGAGCAGCTAAACATTTGTTGACAGTTCAAATTCCAGCTGAACGCTAATTAATAGCTTTGTAAGCTACAAAATTTGAGCCCTTTGTGCAGCTAATAAATTCGCCATTGTCAACAAATTAATATGACAATTTATTTATTTGCCGCTTCCATAATTATAAATTATTCATTTTACATAAATACAAACCAACTCCATAATTTAAATCCGTTTATCTAACCTTCCCCCACTCGCCGGACTTTAATAATTATTCCCATTTGATTCGGTTTTCCATTGTGATTTTCTTTTTTTACACCGTTTTCTCTCATTTTGTAATGGTTGCATAATCCCTCTGTGTGCTCTGCTAACCACCATCACTTTGAAAGTACAATTTTATTTACTTTAATTAAAATGGATTAGTTTTCCCATCACTTGCGTGTGCATATTAAATTTTTTTTATTTCAACGTAATGGCCATTGTATTTATTAAATAATTGTTGCAAATTTTTAACAGTTGGGCTTTATTTTGTAAAATGGGAAAGCAGTTAATTCTTTTAAAGCTTAGAAAACTTTGCAAGCCTTTCATAACATCAATACGCATCAAAATCTGAACAAATTGGACAAAACAAGAGACGAAGACCAAAACCGATAAACCTAACAAAGAAGAAGGATTTACTCAACGGAAGGGGATAACAAGAAGACCCAGAACAAAAACAAAAGCGCGTTGATGTATGATGTTGCCAATTGTTTGAAGTAAATCAAACGGTACGAAGCCGGGGGAAATGGTTCATAGGATGAAGGAGGGATGCCTGGGAGCCGGATAAGTAAGTGCAAGCCGGCAAAAGGCACATCCTGTGGTCGGAGGCCTCAATGAAGCTACAAAGCAACCGTTGCCAATGATTGCCAAGTCCTGGCTGGTCCTTACGCTATCGGGCTTTATGCCAGCTGCCTTTTGCCTGGGTAAACAAAGCGCATTGAAAAATTGCCAGGAATAAAGTAAGCGACCAACGGTGCCGGACAGTGCCGGCCAGAAGTATGCACCCATGTCTGTGTGTTGACAGCCCTAAGAGGGGGCTACTGTCATTTATATTTCTGTTACCCAGCCGCACTCGATACTTCGCCCAGTTTAAGCTCTTTTGGACCTATTCAATCAGCCGACAACTCTTGCTAGACTGTGGTCAATACTTGGTAGGAGGGACACAAATTAGTAAGGGCAGGCAAGTGCCATTAATTTACTGGAATCCAGATCGATTACTTGTCCGCCCCTACACACTCGAATGTTACCATTAACCTAATTTAAATAAAGTTAGCACTTAATGTGAATTTATGGCCACCAAATGCCAAATTTAGAATTTTAAGCATACTTCGCAATGAAAGATTTATGGTTTCGGTATGTATTGTAATTTCAATTTTACTTGGTAAGTCCAAGTTAAAACCAAATGAATGGCAAAACTAGGGCTAAGGGAAATCAGTAGGAATAATAGAAAATGGAATCGGAATCACAATGCCAATTGAAATTCAATCTATTTTTCTGGACCATGCAACTGCAATTCATACATCATCATAACAGCAACTGGCCTGCCCTCAAAATTTCTGAGCATGAAAAATGTATTTCCAAACATTTTGGTGCCCACCATTTTAAAATTAGCACAATTTGCGCAGAGCTGAAAAACTTTGGCCACGGAGGGAAAAAAGCAAACAAAAAGTTAATTAAAACAAAAATTACGGACAGTGGTCGGTGGCCGGTTGTTGGTGGTGCCTGTGCCTGTGCCGCAGCATTAGCAGTGCAGCCAAAAATGCAGCCGAAAAATCTGCGCACCATCTAAAACAAAAATTAATTTTTGGGCCAGGGAAAGTTTTTATTTTTTTCTTTCTATTGTTGTTTTTCTTGTTGTTGTTTCGCTGGCCAAGTGGGGGAGAGTTTGCATTGTTTTGCATATTTTTACAGCGGAAGTGTGTACGTCCCACAACGGCAAAGGCACTAGCCATCATTCCGGACGGTCCGCTCCCGAAAGGCAAAAATAAAAACCAAAAAAATACTAAAAAAAAGTGTATGCAACACGCAAATTATGCAGGCGCATAAGACAAACTTTCTGTTTTGTGGATTCGACAACCGGCGAAATGAAAATTAATACGAAAGCCAAAATGGGTGGCGCTAACACAAACATAGGGTACCATATATTGGAGATCCACAACGGCATCGGCAACTGGAGCACAGAACTGAGTAATTAAAAATGCAGCCGACGAGCAGATGGTAAAATCCTGGCCAACTGTAATGAAGCAGATAATATCTGGCATGTTTTTAGCCAGGAATTTGTGAAATTTATAATATATTTAATCCCAGGACTGTGTTGGATTGAGCACACAACAATAGGCAGACGTAGAGCAAATAGGATTCCTATGAGAGACGCCAGGACATGGATATCCCTTTATAATGCAACGTCCCCACCTTCCCGGTCTACGCCTGCAAACTAACTTAAAATATCAGATTTTAGTTCACAATTTAAAAAGAGTGTCCTTTAACTTACTCATGTAGTCCAGTCTACCTTCAGAAATCTCAGGAGTGAGCAATAGAAACAAAGCAAGAACATAGATCGTCTTGAATACTCTAACCATTCTGACTCAGATTGAGAATAGAAGTGGCATTTTTTGTTTTAGTTTAATTTTTTTTTTAAGACTGTGAATAAACCGTGTAAAATATGTGAATCAAGTGTGGGAAACTAATCAATAATTTCTTTATTTGATGTTTACTTGAATTTCTTACATTGCACAACAAACAGTGGAGGCCCTGCAAAATTTGTCCCTATAGCGTCGTAGTTTGCATGGCTTTTCAGTGGCGATGCATTGGCCCCATCCTCTTTTACCTTTGCAGACTGGATAAATAATTTTTTTTTAAATATTCTTAATTCCTTGCCAAAGCAATGCAATAACTTACAGACTCGTGATTGAACACAACTGATGAAAATCGGCAGCAATAGCAGGATTACCAATAACATGTATTTTATGGACATTCTATTTTCAAGTGTGCAGTTTCCTTCTGCCACCTAAACATCATTGAAATTTTTTTGGTGTTTTTTACAGCCGTAAACAATTAAAATACCATAAAATATATCCGATTTTATGCTTTAATCAAGCCTGTATCATTTTGGAATGCAAGTGAATCGCTATAATTTAAACTGGTTTTGACAATACAGTGAAGATGCTGGAGAAATATGCGAAGTACGTTAAATAAAATCAACAAAAGCTCAGCGACGGATCGAGTTTGGTTCGGCCGCTTTTGTTTTTGTTTTTGCCGGCAGTGGCGACAATCAGAAAAGGCAAAACCAGCCCCCATCAGTATTTTGGTTCCCCACATCGCCCCAAACTCGCCCACAACCACATCGATTGATCTTGCTGACGCTGCGAGAGATCTCTTCAGTTACTCGAGACGATCGGAAGACGCACGACGCATTCCGCACTTTGGCTATTTTCGTGATTAATTTCGGAGAGCGGATACGTATTATAATAGAACCCATCATCCATTCTGTAACGTGAATTATCGTTCTTAACATTCAAGTCAATCTTTTTTACCTATTAGTACTGAAGGCCTAGTTGTTTCCTTCTCAAATAAGTTCAAGTGCATTGTTTGTGTAACCCAGTGACCTAAAAAGTTTTTAAATCTGTATCAATGTGAAGTAGATGTGCTAAAAACTGCCCACATTAAACCATATGCAAACGAAAAGTGCAGTTGGTACAGTTTGAAATTCACTGGGAGAGGTAACGACAACAGTTTGAGAGGTAACCTTCAAGTAGTGCTTTTTAAACCATAAATTATAGACTTTTAAGAAATGCCATATATAAAAACTAAAGAACAGCCTGACAAAATGTTCCCTAAATGGAATTTTACTTTAATAAATAAACAATAAAAAAGACGGCAATTAAAAAAAAACTTTTATATAAAAATACAATATGGTTTTAAAGAAGAAATAATTTATATTATAAATATATAATATATATTATAATATTTAATAAAATTATTTTAGATTTAATAAAAGTTTTTCAATTAATTTAAATAATAAAAATAAAACTTACATGTCTACTTTCTACATGTGTAATGCATGAGAGTAAATTGACGTTATGTAGATAAATGCGCATACATTTTGTTGACATCTGGCATCTCTTTGTACACATTTTTTTAAAAGTACTTAATTATTTGTAATTATATTATTTCAATAAGTTATTTCTGTGCTTTAATAATTGTAGCGGAAAATTAATAATTGATTTTCATTTTTATTATGACGCATTTTGGTCGTTTTATTTTAAATATAGCTATAAACTGTAGATTCAATCTTACCACATTGTTTAAAAATAATTAGCGTTTATCTTTTTGATATCTAAAATAGATGTAACTTTTTATAATTAATAATTATTATGAAGACATTTATGTTTGTAACCATTTAAAAATGCTTAATTTTTAATATTTTCTAGTATTTTTTAGGGTATTTATAGAAATCAACCAAAATGAGTCAGTCTTGTATACCAGTGAGCGCAAAGATGTCGAAGGCAAAGAAAGTTTTAGATGAGGCCAGGGAAACCCAAAATCGGGAGTTGGATTTGGTCGACAAGGGGCTGTCGTCCTTCGAGGAGTTGCCCGGCTTGTGTAAGTATTAAATTCAGTCTTAAAAAATAAGTTATAGGCTGATTTTATCAAACTGAGTCAACAGACTATGAGACATTCCCACGCATAATAGGACCTCGCCCATCTGTTGGGATAAATATATAATTGGTGGTGTTCTAGTGTACTGTCATTACTTAAAATATGCCCTAACAATTGTACTAGTTTTTCAATCTATAATTGATTTATTAAATCAAGGCATTCTGTTTTATTTATTGCGATGACGCCAGCAACAGAATAGGCATCAATCTGTGAACAGAATGTAAACAATGCATTTAAAATATCTAACTGATATGTCACAAGGTTTTTAAATGATAAAATAACTTGTGTTCTTCTTTTCCTTTATTTATTTTTTAAAAAATTTTTACAACTAAGTGATTTATTAGTTTTTATCTTTAGAAATTATCAATTTATGTGAAAAAAACATTGCGCATGCCAATGTTTATATAGTTATCCCTCTCTAACTTTCGGCGTCTTTACTTGTTGCGTGCAAACAGCTGTTTATATTTGAACCCAGCGAGAAATTTACATCTTTTAAAATAAATCTTGAGAGAATTATTTTTAATATTAAAAAAAATCTTCTATGAATAATTCTTTTTTAAATATCTGTCAACTTATTACTCATTATTATATTTTATATCAATAGTCAACATGTCCAACATCACACGACTCACCCTGTCCCACAATAAGATCAGTGTGATTAGTCCCGGAATTGCCAACCTCCTAAATCTGGAGATCCTCAACCTCTCAAATAACCAGCTGACTGAGTTGCCCGTTTCGCTGTCATCCATGCCTAAGCTGCGAATCCTTAATGTGTCCATCAACCGGCTGATTAATCTTCCTCGAGGATTTGGAGCCTTTCCTGTGCTGGAAGTCTTGGATCTGTCGTACAATAATCTGAATGAACAGGTGCTGCCTGGAAACTTCTTTGGAATGGAGACACTGCGCGCCCTGTATCTCGGAGATAACGACTTCGAGTACATACCCAAGGAGGTGGGTCAGCTGAAAAATCTGCAAATTCTCGGACTTCGCGACAATGATCTCCTAGAGCTTCCCCGCGAAGTTGGAGACTTGGTGCGGCTTCGTGAGCTACACATTCAGAACAACAGGCTTCAGGTTCTGCCGCCAGAAATTGCCCAGCTGGATCTCTTGAGCAACAAGTCGGTGATGAAAATGGAGGAGAATCCCTGGGTGAATCCCATTGCCGAGCAATATCTCCTGGGCATCAGTCATGTGATCGAATATCTCAAAACTGAGACCTACAAAATGTAAGTTCACAAATATCTGAATATGAGAGTATTTCTAACCTATTATTTATCCCATCGACAGCATCTACAACCGACATTTGCAGGCAGGACGTAGTGGACCGCCGCCTCCCAAGGCCGACAAGAGCAAGAAAGCTTCTCGAATACGCGCATAGATTTCCTCGATCAGGAGCTCCCATGAAATAATGTGTTCGTCTCGTTCGTTGTTAACCAAAATGTTTTTGTATACTAATTCTTAAGTACTTGTAAACTAATGTGTATGTAAAAGTGCCTTGATCATATTTATCACTAATTAAATTCAAAAATAAAATATTATGTTGTTTTTTTTGGAGGGGCCACTAAAAGGGATGGTATCTCTAACACCCCATAATAAAAATGAAATGACAACGCATATATTTATTTTATAAAATAGTAGGTTTTTCTTGTTTTTATTATCTTTTTCTCATATTCATTCATTCTTTTTTTTAAGAAATTTGTTTTCATAATCATAATCATTAATTAGTTTACTTAAAGTCAATTAATTAATTCTTTATTTATTTTAATTAAATTAATAGTTAAATGTTTTTTGTTTTTGTTCTTTGTTTGCTAAGTTGTTTGAGAAAAACCAAAAGCATAGTTCTGCTTTATTCGCTTTGAGTTTGTTTCGTTTCTTTGCATTTTTCACTTATCAATTTGAATTGAATACATACTTCATATATCAATTTATGTAATTTAATTATTCTGTAAACTTATTTTGCTTTTTTTTGTATATGCAATTCAATTTTAATTTATTCCTTACTGTATATTTTTTAGTATTTATATATATATTTCATAGATTTTATTTACAAGAGTTTGAAAATGTTATTTTGCGTAGTCTTGCTGAAATTTAATGTAAAGCTACCACAGAACACGGAATCAAAATACAGGTTATCAGCAAAATTTCTCAAGCTGAGAAATATATTATTTTAAAACCAATATGAGAATGAAATTGTATGATTAACAATATTGTCAAAACAAAATAATTAAATGGCTTTCATCCTATTAATGTCTTTTACTGGAGTTGTACATCAGTCGGGACTCCGCGAGTTGCACGATATATCTTTGAGTACGCAAATACGAAACACAGACAAAAACAAAAAACATAAACTAGTAACCTATGAGACTACAACAAATTAAATTACAAGCACACGTAGACTCGTATATGGATGACCTACGCCTTTTTAAGATACGTACATAAAAATAGATTTATATATGCTGGCAGATATACACGTACACGATAGATAACATTAAACATAATCAGTGGCGGTCTTGCTACCAAATTGCTAAAACATAAAGCTTTAAACCTAATACTAATAAAAATTGACAATAGAAAATTGTACCTAAGATAGTAAAAATACATGAAATATAAAAATTAGTTACTTCGTTTGCTCTATATTCTGCACAAGGAATATGTATATACGGAAAACAATCAAAGCGGCTTTCGAAAGTCGAACAGAGAAATGCGTTTAGCCACAAATTAAAAAATAAGTTTGGGTTCATACCACCATTATTTTTAAGTCTCGCTTTTTCATTTAATATTTATTGTTTGTTTATACTTTTTGGTTTTCTTGGTTGTTTGCTAGTTTACAAATGCAATTTTGACGGCTAAATAAGATGTAGCCTTCGGTACAGATAAATACAATTTAAATGCCTTGTTGTTTCCGTTTCCGTTCTTGTCAATGACGCCTAATTAATTCGCACTGTTTTTATTTAATTAATCTTTTTTTTTGTACAAAACACATTATTGTGAATCAAGAGTGTAATTAATTTTGTATTCATGCCTGGAGCTTAGAAATCTCACCGACAACATATTGAATGCTTTTCTCATACAATTAAATCTTAGTTTTTCATTTCATGTATAATATTTGTTTGTTCTGGCTGCTGCTATTTAATATTTTTGTATGCATAATAAATATATACATACAAATGTATATATTTACCGTTCGTTTTTATATGTATTATGCATATTGCCGTTTTTAATTATTTAAATTAATCATAATTTTCATTCGTATTTTTCATTTCAATTTATTTAATCAAAAATATCATTCACTTTTAGCTTTTTCTGTATTACGCATTTTTCGCATTTTTTTGTTTGTTTTTTTTTGTTCTGGCGGTTTTCCCTTGTGGCATATAAACATTGTTTAAATAAAAATAATTAGCATAAAAATTACATTTACATTTAATTTGAGTTCATTTGATTTTTGTTGTTTTTGCTTTTGTTGCTGTTTGGGCTGTGTTGTTTGCTGTTGTTGCAGTTGCTGCTGTTGCTTAAGACGTTTAGCCTTTGGCCTTTTATGGCGCTCCATTGCGACTTTTGGCTGTCAAACTTTGCTGTTGTTGGGGGCCCGCGTTGTGGATTCATATTGGCCCCGCCCCAAGGCCGCATATGCATCGGCATATGCGTGTTGCTGCTGTGGCTCCAGTTGCTGCTGTTGCAGAAGATGTTGCTGCTGCTGTTGCTCATGCAACGATGTCGGCCGACTAAAGCTTACTTGTAGCGGCGGCGGCGCGACGCCTAAAGAAAACAAATTCATAATTAATATTAATAATATTTTCGAAATTTCATTCCTTCATTAGTGGTGTTAGTATTTTTAAATGACTTTACATTTTTAAATTTATATGCATTTTATAAAATGATTTATTCTTAAAAAAAAGTAGTTCCTAATATGAATGCTCAAAATGATTATGTTATTAGTTATTATGAGAATAAATTAAATTATAAAATGCTTTATAAGTAATAAACACAATTATAAGATTTAAAAAATATTAAAAACGTGTTAGTTAAACCATCTAAATGCACATGCAAAAACAACAACAATACAAAAACATTATCCATAACTAAATGGAAAAAAGGGCACTACAAAAAATAAAGAAATAAATCTGGAAAAAGGACACATGCCATGTGGAAAAGGATATAAGTACCACCAAACAATTTACATCGAAAAATAAACAGGGTCACAAATCAAAAGAGGAGACAAACGTAAACAAAACTGGGGAGAAAATCACAAAGGTCATACCAATTGCTTCGGTTAAATGAAATATCATTTTGATTTCTTTTTTGTTTGTGTTTTGGTGGTGGATGGGAAGCAACAACTCATGGATCGATGACTAGCAGCGGGCGTTATATTTTTTGGTTTTTCGGGATTTTCGGGGCTATGTCTTTCAATGTTCTGTATGGCAATGTGATGGATCCAATTCCTAATAAACAATATTCCGGCGGACTGGTTTAAGGGCCTTCTCCTTGCTGCTGCTGCGACTGTTTGCCTGCTGCGACTTTTGCGACTTCGAGTCTTTGGCTTTGGTACTCTTTCCGCTCTTGCTCTTACTACTACTGCCCGCCCCCGATCCCAATCCCGATCCCGACCCACTGCCGGCTGCCGCTGTGGATGAGTTGCTGGTTGTGGTGTTGGAGGTGTTGTTGGTACGTGATGATCGGGACTTATTGCGTGGTGGAAGTTCTGAATTTTTTAGCGTTTCGCAAACGAAAAGAAAAACGACAAATTAAGTTTGTGGGAAAAACAAGGGAAAAAAGGGTGAGAAAATGAGGAGCATGTCTGGGGCAAAACTACCGGACTCAGAGCTCACTCTTTCTTATGGCACGGGAGTGGGGAAAAGAGAGACACACACCTTTCGGCGTGTAGAACGCTTGCTGTGGTTGCTGCTGCGGCGAAATTGCCGGTTGCTGTAGTTGTAGTTGTTGTTGTTGTTGGTGCTGTTGCAATTGTTGATGTGCATTTGGCGGCGGCAATGGCAGCGGCAGTTGGGCCCGAGCCACCACACCACCGCTGCTAATGGCCGCCTGGACACCACCACCAATGGAACCCGGTATCGCCTGGTCGGCTCCATACCCGCCATGTGATCGCGCTGCTCCGCTGCTAGATCCGCCAGCTGTCGCCTGTGGTCGCCCACTACTGGTGGATCGTGGGCCTCGTCCATCACTTCTTCTCGCCTGATTCGCCGCCGAATGGCGACCGGAGTGGCTACCGCCGGTGGGCAGTGGGACGATTGAGTGACCGCCCTGTTGGCGATCCCAATCATGTGGATGTGACTGATGATGCGATCGGGAGCCACTGTGCCGACCACCGCCTCCACCGCCGCCACTGCGTCCATCGCCGCCTCTTGGATAATGCTGCGCCTCGTGTGCAGGCGGTGGGATGCTACGAGGACCGGCTCCTCGCTGATTGGGATGGCGTTGCTGTATTAGATAAATATTAATTATATGGTTTTCAACAATCTGAAAATTAAAATCCTACCATTCTTCGCAACGTATTCATGGGCGCTCTCAGGGTTTCGCTGATTCGACGAGCTCGCCGTTTCTTCGGATTGGAACTCGGTGTGTGCACAGCGCAGCATTTAATAAAGGAGCCCATAACCACGATGAAAGCCACACCCATCAGAACCACCAGATACCAGTTGTCGACGATCCACTCGGCCACGGTCTGCAAAGTCTCGCGGTTAAGAAGCAGATTCTTCAGACGCACCAACGGACCATCGGCATCGACTGCTCGACACTTAAGGAACACATCGCAGTATCCCTGGAAGTTATCACAGGGAGATCCTGGCTGCAAACTTATGCCACCCTTCTGGATGTTATATTTATCTGCAAACTCGCTGGTGCTGCGACATGTGGAGGTGTCATTACCATCCTGACAGGCCAAGTCGCACAGTTTCCGCTTATTAACGTGCGGCAGCGTCGTCGAGGTGAGGAAACACTTGGTCATGTTCCAGAGCAGACATGGCGATCCACTACATTCGCCTCGGATGCACAACGCAGTTCCATTGTTGCACATGGTCTTGTCATCACGATGACGTGGCTCCGGACACTCGGCCGTGGTTCCATTGCAGGTGCTCGACCAGCTGCACTCCGTCTCCTCCTTGCACTTCTGGTAAGAGCTTGTCGGCACAAAGGTGCAGGAGTTCGATAGGCAGCAAGGACCCTGCGAGGGCGAACACTGCGTCTTGGCACGACGCGTACAACCCTTGGCACTGGAGTTCACCGACTGATCGTACTCGGTGATTAAACGCGGGTAGCAGCATTTGTCTTTGCACTCCTCCTCGTTGAAGCCGCAGTCGCATTCCTCGCCAGACTCTACGATCTTGTTGCCGCAGAATGCTCCCTCCGAGGCCTTGAAACAGTCGCGCTTTGAGTTTCCCACTAGAACGTCAAGCACATTGGAGATATTTCGAATTGAGCAGGGCGAGAACTTTGAGTTGTTTGGCCGATCACCAGATGTGGCACTGGCAAACATAATAAAGTTGCCGTTCAGGCCACCAGGACGACACTCCTGCGGATAGTCGTGCTAGGAAGGAATACAAATAAGTTAAAAGACGAAAGTTTATTTGCATCCTTAGAAACTTACAGGTGATCCAAAGTTATGACCAATCTCGTGAGCCAAAGTCAGCTGTGAGACTTTTGGTGGCACTCTGCTATTGTAGTTAACAAAGGTGATGATGCCCGTGTTGAGGGAACGCTTAGTGCTTTGATACTGTCCTCCTACCGTTTCCGTGTAGGTCTTGTACTTCTCACAAATGCCACCAGATGCTCCCGAAGCACTAGCCACCCAAGCCAGTCCCAAAGTACCACCAGTGAAATCTCTGTAATAGAATTTGTTTAAAAAAATCTTTCTGACTGTTCTGCAGTACACCAACCAACTAACCTGTAAGTAAACACATAAGCCAGGCAAAAGTCGGAGTGATCTTCTAGGGAATGGAGATTCAAGAAGTTCGAGACGTCCATATGCTCATTGCAAAAGGCATTGTGTGGCCCATTATACGAGTGGCGGCAGGCCGAATCATCATCAATCTTAATACGTTGCACCTACCATAAACGAATGTATATCGTATATTACAAAAAGTTGAATAATGTTTGAAATTAAATAATTGGTTGGTAATCTTTTTTAATGCCACTTTTCTGCAATAAATGTTGTCTGATTTTTTGTAATTAAAAATCCTCTGGTTGCATAGTATTTTATAATCAGAAATTGCGAGAAATTGACCCATATTTCACAGAAATAATGTTTTGTAATTGCGGATCAATTAAAGCAATCAATTAGTCACAAACTGTAATCTACGGAAACGGGATTGCGCTTTAATATACACTGCACTAAAGTCCTGTCCTCGCATGGTTTAACCAGTTACCAATGTCCGCGGCTGTGGTCATGGGCATCTGTGAGGCGGTCCAGCCGCTTTGTCGTTATCTCATCATCATTGTTTGTCCGTGGAATCCCCACTGTGTGTGGGCGTGTGTGTACTCACCTCAAAGCGTATGTTCCGATGCTCGGTGCGTCCGTCGAACTTTGTGTTGCGGTAAATGTAATTAACGGCCGTCACGTGATGTGCAATCAGCGATGTGATTTCCTCGCGCGTTTTCTCATCAACCTCGTACTTGCCACGATCATGCTGTAAACAAAAAGAGAGGAACGTTAAAAGGTGTTGACAAAAAATTAACACTATTTTCAAAAGCAAGAATACTGAAAAACAAAATACCCTCTGATTTATGAAATATTAAAGAAATACAAAAATTACCATTAATTCTATAAAAGTCGAAAATCGTTTCCCAGGAATTATAATATTAATTTGAAAATAATTGTTTGATAAGCAACAAGGTAGACAGATTTAATTAACGTAAAACCCCTCGAAATTTTTCAGGGGCTGGGGTAATAAAAATCTCAAAACCGCAATGCGTTGGGGAGCGGAAATGCGCCTGACATCTGTGTAAACGGGTCCGCAACGCAACTTCCACGGCCACGCCAGACAAACAAAAAGGACCTCTCCAAAAAACGCCCCTTTCATCTCGTGCTCATCCAATCCAATCCATGCCAACTTCCCACCCAACAAAGGCTCTTCAAATATATTTGTATAAAAATGCAAATTCAGCTAAGCCCGTCGAATATTTCAGCTGAAGTTTATAAGGTTTTATGCGCACTCCCCAAACATCCGGATCCAGCATCAGCCTTCCGCCGATTTTGGCTCAAAAATCAAAATGCCGCGGGGCCCAAGAGACAAAAACAAAGGCAAACGAAAAAGGGAGAGAATCCGAAGCTTGTATACTCTTTAAAATATGTGAAAAACTATATAAAACAATACTTATAGTAATGTTTGGTTTCAAAAAGGAGTTGTTGGTAGCTAAGTTATTTTCACACTCTTTAAATTCCGAATTTTGATCGCATAAACTTTATACTTTACATCGATGCAAACTTCGATCCAAAGTTATAATACTCTCTCCCAGGGCTTAAATAAAGCGAAAGCCGGAACAACAAGCGCGATATAAAGTGAGAATCGGAGGAAGAGTGAGCGAAACAAATGCGCGAATTATGCAAAACTCATTGCAAATAAACACACGTGAGGAAGACAGAGAGAGATAGAAGAGAAAGCGAAGACAGAAAGGAGGGGGAGTACAAAGTCGCGGAGTGGGCGTGAGCGGAAACGGAAATAAGGCTGGCACTCTGGTGACGAGGATGTTGACGTCGACATCATCTCGCGTACAATGCGAAAAAATGAACGTAAACATAAAAGTGCGGTGAAAGAATGGATCTAAATGGTGGGAGAAGGAGGATTGGGTGGTTATCTAAAGTGGGTGGGAGAGCACGGTTACGGGCCATAACCGTTGATTACATACGCTGTACGGAAACGAAGGAGGTCAGCTGATTGGATGATTGCTAAGCTCTGTTGCTCTGCAGATGCCCCGAAAAATAGGCAATTCTGTGGTATGCGACAAAAGGGTTCGCTGAGTTTATGGAGCGTGAAAATTCGCTGAATAAATAGGTAAACAAATTCATGATTGTAACAAACATTAGTTTTAAATAAATGCTAAAAAAAAGTTCTCATAAGTATATAAGATCCTTCATTGTCTTTAGTTTTAATAAAATAAAATTAATATTTATTGAATTTGAAAGAAAATTCTTGCTGCAATTTTAATGATACAAATTATTGGTTAATATTTTTTTCTGTTTTGCAGGTATTTTAAAAATTCCTATGAATCATTGATCCAGCAGCCCCTGACAACAGAACCTTAAAGTTGTCGTGTAGGGCACCAGGCAATTTTTGCTTATCCATATCTTGGGAAATGGAATTTGTATATAAAAATGCCTAACAACTACGATGTCTACGTGCCCTGAAAATTCCGTCCCAGAAACTTCGGCCCTCTTTTGTTTTATGTGCACTTCACTTTTATAAAAGTCTAGGCTCGTAAAAAATTGCAAAATTGTTGATTTTTCACGTATTTTTTATATCTTTGCCCATATGACGTTATGTTTTTAACACTACAGACATTGCATTTCTTTATTTTACTAGCAACTAATATAAAAGCGTCTAAAATCTATCTTATAATGTTCCTGTTTAAATATTTTCTGGTACTTACATCAGTGATGCCCTCGCGTATATGTCGCCAAATCAATGGATCCGTTTGAATGTAGAGCGAGCAGGTATTCTTATTGTCCTCGCGACCGCGTCCAGATCCGCCGGATGAGCCCCTATCTCCATTGTCAGAGGCCCGACGGACACGTTCGTGGACGAGCTCATGCCAGTCAGCCACGTTGGCGGATGAGCCAAGGCGACGTCCGGTCGAAGGATCGTAGAATGCACCCTCGGCGAAGTTCGCCTCTTTCGTGTACTTCTGATGGGGATACTTGAAATCCTCATCTCCGCTGATGTATTTCTTGGGCGGATGAGGCGGATGCTGCTGCTGCTGTTGTTGTTGCTGCTGCTGTGGGGCGGACTTTTTGTGCAGCTGTTTCCGGTGGAGCTTTTGGTAGTCCTTTGACATGGGCTCCGGGAGCTCTTCGACGGCTGAATTTTGTATGTTCTCCATCCATTGAGAGACCTCATCCGTGATGCCACAGCCGGCCACGTGACCTGTAAGGAAGAACAAAAGCGGAGAATGAATGAGGGAAGTACGTTGGTAGGAATAAATAAAAAAGAAAGAGGCGGAGGAATGAGGAATGTTAATTTGCTGATGCAGTCCGGCTTTTGGGTCTTCCCTATCCTACCAAATTCAATGCGAAAATTATTTATGACCTACCAAGTGAAAGCCGCAAAAATGTAATTAAAAGCATCCCCACGCAGATGCGAAAAGCGAAAAAATTTTAATGCAAATGCCAAAGCCAAATATTCAAGTTGTAAATGAAAAACTGAAGCTTTGAAAAATCGCTATGAAAACGCAAAGGTGGGGCATTCGGGCGCCTGCACTACTGCACTTTAAAAGTGCAACAACAATTATATTTACTGCTTTGCCAGGAGCTCCTGGCGGAGCATTGTCTTGGCCAGCGGAAACTGTTAATAGCCGCTAGCCGGTAATGAAAATTTATTGTTTTATTGTTTAAGCGCAGTCAGAGCAGAACGCGGTCTGCTGCCTTTTTATCCACAATCGCGAGGACGCGTTTTGCACGCGATTCGCTCGCGTTTTTACCCTTCATCGCGATTGTCAACATTAAATAAACCAAAAGACCGAATGGGGGATGGGATGCAACAGGGCGGAAAAGGGAATAAAGTACTGCACCACAGAGTGGTGCACATTTTTAAAAGCTGCGAGAGTTTTATGGTCTCAGCCATTTACATTCATTTCCAGAATAATCTTCTGAGTTACGAGAGCTGTTTCGAATATCTGGGGCAGTGAAACGAATATTTAAGTTAAACGAAAGATGAATAAAACTTTAAACAATTTGAGATTCTATCATAAAAGTAATTCGTTTTTATTGCCATGGATATAGCTTAAGTGAAATCAATTGCTTGGTGGATTAAAAGGTACTTCAAGACTTTTAAGAGTTTAATTTATTATGTTTATGTTTTTCTTAAATATTAAAAAAGCAACTATATTATTTTATAAATGTAACTGTATTAACGAAGAGAATTTCACTCTGTTGCAATATTGAAAACACTATGCACTTTCCATTAAACATCATTTATGCCACCCGGTTGGTTGCTACTCAACACCATCTCTGCATTCCACAAAGACCCTTTGAGAACCCTCTCAGCCAGCTCGAAAGTCATAACAAGGCAACAGGGTTCCCCTTCATTTCGCCGGTACTCTTTTTCTTGGCACTGGAATGCCGTGAAAGGATATTCATTCTGGCGCCAGGACGAGGACCGCTGTCCAGTCCAGTCAGCTCGCTCCCAGTGGCAGCAACGTTGCAGCTTTCAGTGGAGCTATAAATTTTTATTTGGCTGATGCTATTGTGTCAAGTAAGCGGGGGCGGCATGAAGTTGGTAACTTGGTTGGTTGGTTGGTTCTCTGTTGCCGAGTCCGTCGCGCCATTACCATTATGCATTTGCTTATTCTTCTTCGTTTTCTTCGCGCTCGCTTTTTATTTGCCCATTCCCAAACTGTTTGTCTTTATTACAAGCATTTTTTGGCGGCGTTGTCGTACTTCACAGCAGAATGGCAACGTTGCCAAGCACGCGACCTACGCCAAAAGCATTACACTTCCAAAATAAATAGCCATAGGACATTCACCTTTTGAACAATTCCAGAAGGTAAAGAAAACCAAATCAAAGTTTGGGTATTGATACTTAAAAGATTCCCTACACTGGTTTGAATTTGATAATATTATTAAATATATTAATTCTCCTAGTTCTTTCACAAATTTTCAACAGTGTAGCGTGCCGTGCTTGCAGGTGGAATATTTCCCCAGGAAAAGCCGTGGCCATAGACATAGAAGGGAGCCACTAAATACGTAAACCCTCGAGAAGCCAGTAAAGCCGCAGCAGGCACAGCTTCCGTAAATGCTCTCCGCTCTCCTCCTGGAAGGTCCCGAGGAATCCACAGTGGCATGCAATTTGCATATCAAAGGCAACCCCTCGAGTATGCTGGCTCTACCACATAGCAAACCACATATAGAGGTATATATGTATATCCCCCATAGCAATGTTTTATTTTGTTGCATGCCGCTTCTTACTCCAATGACCCGTTTTTATTTCATTTTGCTGCATCGCCTTCTGCTTGAATTTTCTTTTCCCTTTTTTGCCCACTTTTAGAGCAGCTTTATTGTTGCTGGGCCCTCTTATGAGTTTTCGAGTGTACGAAGGAGGCTGGCTGAGCTGCATTCAATCGGGTATCTGATGATGCCAACCCCAAGATGTTGTCTGATTTTCGGTTTTTTATGTCATGCCTGGCTGGCTGGCTCGCTTTGACCAAAGACAGTAGTTTAGTGTACTCCACACCCACTTTAAACTCTAACCCCAAACCCAAATGCGACCGCGTCTTCAACGGTGCCTCCCCGCCTTTTTCCCATTTCAATCAACAGCTGTTGAGTCGCCATCGCCGACGTAATAGAGCGCGCGTCCCCGGCACATTTCATTTTTCCAATTTCTCTGTGCCACTCAACGGCTGCTTTCTGCCTTCCGTCCCCACTGGCCACTTTGCTCCACGACAACTCCTATTTTTACAGGCGAAGAAAAATCCCCAGATCGGGATTATAAATCATAAGGATTTGCGAAGGAAATTCAGTGTCATTTAACGCATGAATGCTTTTTATGGCTAAAACAACAAAAACAATATTCTTTCAAACAGAAATCGTTTTATATATTTTACATTTAAATGTAAGGTTTTAAGGTTGTCATGGAGATGTGTTTTCCTCCCTGTATTTGTTCAAAACTAAAACTTTTATTTTTACCAAAGTCTTATAGGAAAAGAATAAAATTAAATCAAAAATAATTCCGTGAAACTAAATCAAGAATTTCTGAGTGCACTCGACACTGGCTTCATTTGCTGTCACACATTCCTTGCATAGCCGCTGGCACATCCTTTAGCTCCTCTCAGCCCCACCGCCCAACCCCCTCCCTCTGGCGATACTTCAATCATATTTCGCTTTAGCTTTGACTGCATCGCCCAGGAACTCGTCGAGATTTCTGCACAAAGATTAAAGTGCACTTTTGTGTTATCTTTTTACTGGGTTCAGATCGACGCTTCCACTTGTACAAGACTTTTCACTGCTTCCTCGATGTTTTACGTGTTTTCAGTTCTAGCATTTTTATTATTCTATTTTATTTGTATTATTTTTTTTTTTTTTTGTTGTTACTTCTTCTTGTTGCGCCAATTGAACAAAAGCCACGCGCGCGTTCGCCCGACTTATGAATTTTACAACTTCCGTTGAAAGTCGGGCTCAGGGCAGCTTGGGTTTTGTCGTCCTGGCAGCCTTACACAAAAAATATAAAAAAAGAAATAAAGAAGGCTATAGTAGGGTAGTAAAACTATAAAATACCCTGCACATACTTAAGACATTCGCTTGGTATTCTATTTGATGTAAAATTTTTATTAAATTTCCAATATTAACCTTGTGAGTATTTTGCAAAAACCTTTTTTATTTAGCAAAATAGAAAAATACTTTAAATTTAAAGTTTCTTTCGATCAAAAATTTATTGATAAGAAATACCTTTAGGCTCTTCGACTACTGGGTGTAAGGAATAGAGTCACAGCAGGAAAAATTGAGCTTGAGTCGGAGACAAACGACGTTCAGACATGCAAGCGGCTTTCGTAGCTGGGCTTTCGTCTCCAACTTCCTCACTTGATCCTTCGTGCCACCCACCCACCATTCAACCACCAGACCCACCACCCACTTTTGCCTCCCAATTACGGCCATGGACCCATTCAAGGTGCAAGTGTGTGTGCGGTGCGCAAGCAAAAATGAAAAATAATCCCAAATTCAATTGCAAATGAAATTGAGGGCGAAAGACGCCATAAATACACACACAGAAATACAGACACATGTACACTGGCACACAAAGAGCATTCAAGCCCACCCCCAACCCCCCAAGGAAACCCAAAACTGAATCAGCACCCCAAAAGGCCATAACAGACGCTTTACACAATTTCGACGCTTTAAAAGGAAAAATAAGAGAACAGCCAAACGAGCAAAATGAAAACCAAAATACATAACTGAATAAGGAACACCAAATATTTGAGCCAACAAAAGTTCATACACACACACACACTAATACTGTTGCAAACAAAGAAAAGAAATTATGTATAAATGGACATATTGCATTAAATTTACAGATATATTCCATTGACAATGAAGGCGGCCATCCAACACATCCTTTTGACATTCAGCTTATAAAAAACTATTTGTCAAATGCGAATATTGTGAAATATTTATTTTATATAAGATTTTATTAAGCTGTTTTAAGTTGGGATTTGGGTATACTTTTTTTTAAACAAAAAAATATTTAAAGGAAGATTATAAATACAATTTAAGTCCTGCCATTTTTTGTGCTTATATTCTGACATTTTAACAATTCTCTGACGAAATTCGAAAATTTAAGTGCCTCCCACGGAAAACACAAAAATTATATAGCATACAACTGGGCGCAATAAACGCTGTGGGCGCACATTAAATGGGCGTGGCATGTGCGTGTTTGCTGCTGGCGTTGCTTTTGCATTAACAAGTGGAAATCATCGCAAAATGTTCACTGCTCCTGCCGATGTTGATGCTTGAACGTTGGGAGAGCACAATTCATACAATTTTCCCTAATTTGCTTTTATTTTGTAAATGATTTGATTACCACGTTGTTACCGTTCCCGCTGCTGTTTATTTATTTAATCATTTCTTCCTTTGTTTATTTAATCCCCCGTCCTCATGAGCATCGTCAGCGAGTTTTGTTCGCCAGTTTAGTCTTAATTTGTTTACCCCGACAATTGTTACGCTTTTTTGTATTTGCTTTAATTAAAAATGTTTTAATTTGCGCAATTGTTTTGGCCATGAATGCAATAAGCATCAGGATATTAAGGTCCTTCAGGGCTTTTAAATGAAATTATTAAGCTCTTTTAATTTCTGTGTTGAATTAAATCGTTTAAGAAATTAGTCATAGTGTAAAGAAACATAATGGAGATAATGAGTTCTTAACGATTTTCAACGTGC